ATTATCTTTGAGATATTTCCTCGTTTTTTCAACGGCTTTGTCTCTTGGGGTTTGCCGTACGTTTTTTGCATATGCCTTTGCCGCGGCTTCTATTTCACATAACGTTTCACCAGATGTTTTTTGATTTTTCAATTGTGAGAGGAAAATGTCGACAATTTGTGACAATTTTCCCCAGATAACCTGAGGGAAAATAAATAACATGAAATAAGAATTTGAGATTCTTTCGAGAAAACAAATATTGCGTGATATATTAGTTTATGATCCCAAACTCTAAATCGAAACTTAATTTTCGTCGAAACTTACCATCTGAAACTTACCATCCAAAAAAATTTTTTCGTTTTTTAATAAAAAATAGTTTTTTCAAGATAAAAATGTATTTGCAAGTAAAACTTTAAAAATTTTCAAAAAATTTTCTGAAACTTACCTTCTGAAACTTAACATCTGAAACCTACCATCTTAATACATGGGAAACCTATTATCTACCTTAATACATTGGAAATCTATTCCCTATCTTAATACATAGCTTGGAGACCGGATACTCTATTCCCTATCTTAATACATGGGTAGTCCAATGTATTGATGAAAGTTCACGTAATCAGGCAGTAAGTTGCATAGTCTTGGTACTCTATGCCAGAAATTAGTTCTGCTGATGTCCAGCCGCTTTTTTCTTAAACTATAGCGCAAGGTAGTAGACGACCTGGTGGTATACAGTGATGCTGGTGTTGATGAGAGGTAATGATCTAAGTTTATCATATAATCGCCATTGATGAGCCGAGAGAAAAATAGTAAATCGATAACTTGAAGATATAAGGAAATGCGAAGTAAGTTCAATGCCGTGAGTCTTTCTTTGTATGACAGATCGTTGAAATCTGATATCCAGTTTGTAGCTCTTCGTTGAACCGATTCAATGGTTCTCATGTCGGTTTTAGACGGACACCAAGCTGGACTACCGTAACACGAGACACATTTTGTTTGACCATGTGAAAAACTTTGTTTGCTTTGTCACAGACTTTCTGAACATGGGAAGTCCATTTTAACGTGTCGGAAACTGTTATCCCTAAGTCTTTCTCGCTACGACTTTGTTCCAAATAGATGTTATTCAGCTTCAGTGCAGGTGATTGCGAATTGGCGCCGAATGTCATGATGTGACATTTCGAAGCATTAAACTCCATTGATTTTGCGGTACACCAACGTTCCAAAATTTGTAGATCTTCCTGAGCCGGCGAGTAGGCGTTTCTCTTCAAAATATCAAGGAGTTTGCTATCGTCGGCAAACATATACGGCGCAGTTGAGATTCCAACAGGTAAATCCATAACATAAATAAGAAATAAAAGAGGTCCTAGTAGAGAACCTTGCGGGACACCACTAGTTATCTCCAGTAGTGAGGATTTAACAGATCCTAATTGGACATATTGCTTGCGATTTGTTAAATAGCTCTTGATGACTCTGAATAGGTTCCCACCTATGCCAATACGTTGTAATTTACTCAGTAATTTGGAGTGCGTAACCTTATCAAAGGCTTTCGCGAAATCAAGGTACACAGCTGAAACAGTCTTATCTGGATCGTCGACAGCGTTGAATATTTCATCCAGATAGCAGATAAGTTGTATTATTGTTGATTTTTTTTCTGAAAACCGAACTGACATGCGGGGATGAGTGGACGGAAAAACTCATAGAGTTCGTCAAAAACACATTTTTCGAATATTTTAATGGGATATCGAGTAACGAAATAGGCCGGTAATTTGACACGTCATATCTGTCTCCTTTCTTGAAAAAAGGACTAACTCTCCCTACCTTCCAAGTATCAGTGAAAATGCCAGTTTGCTTTATTTTGTAAAATAGTTGTGCAAGAGAATGCGAAATGTTGCTGTTTCTGAAGAGTACTGGTGGCAATTCATCATCGCCGCGTGATTTTGTTATATCAAGTTGCTTGAGAATTTGTATGATTTTTTTCTCCGATGCATCGAAATCTTGAATCTTTATCTCATGGTTACGATCTTCAATAAACTGAACATTGTCGGTGCTGAAAACGGATATAAAATAGTCGTTGAATAAATGGCATTGTTCAAATTCTGTCTTTGCTGTAACACTGCCCCAATTGACCGAAGAGGGAATTGGATTGCTTTTGCGCAATGACTTAAAATACTTGAACAGATGCGATGTGTTACGACGATTGGCTAGACTTGTTTCATAGTTTGCTTGATCAAGCTCAGTCGAAGACTCAATTGATTTTTCGAGGATAGTTATCTTCAACTGAATATTGTCATTTGGTTTCGAAAAATATTTGCGGCGGAGAGTCTCCAGTTTTTTCAGCGAGTGCGACGTTTGAGGCGAGACCCAAGGAAGAAGGTTGCAGCGGTGCCTTGTCTTGTAGGGCACTGCCATATCCAAGAGGCGGGAGAGCCATTGATACCAGTTCTTAAGTAATACATTGGGGTTAGACCAACAGACGCCAGTAAAAGGATATTCAAGTATCAATGCATTAAGTTAGTTTTTCATAGTCGGCTAGGGAATAGCTTCGTTTCTTGATAGGAGCCAGAGTCGTGAGACTTCTGAATTGTAGTTTGATGCACATTGGTTTGTGGTCCGATAACATTCTATCATTGACACTGTAAAGATTCATTAGTGTTTCATCGGCACACACCGATAGTATCAGTGAGTCGTTGCTGGCAAGGACGACATCCAATGTATTTGATGAAGTTGTGTTGAAGTTAACTAATTGTGTTAAGTTGTACTTGTCCAGTAATCGGAGCACGTCACTTTCGTAGTCGTTGTTCGAGTGGAAAGAACTCCAGTTCACTCCTGGAAGGTTGATATCTCCCATCAGAATGACACATTGCGAGTGTTCGTCCCTCATGAAGCGATCGAGAGCTGCGAGAAAATTGCTCCATTTGTTCAATGGCCATCTGTAGTTGCTTGTAGTTGGTGGATTGTACAGTACTCCCATAATGTAGGAATAGCCGGGGGAGTCAATCTTGCAGGCAGCAAAGTCGTCCGTGTTTTCGCAGAATTGACTGAGGTTGAGAGTTTTGCATCTGATATTCTTGACACCTAGAAGTACGCCACCATGTTTAGAGAGTTCGCGGTTTGTGGTTCGTTCTTTTCTGATTAGGGAATAATTCGGTAAATTGATCTCTGCGTCCGCAATATTTTCAGTGAGCCAAGTGTCGGTCAAAGCGATAATATCGGGGTTAGCTGAAAGTATCGCACGAGATAGAGCGAGACGTCTTTCATACGCAAGTATACTTCGCACATTGAAAATAGTTACAGAGATGCATGATGCGTCTGTGTGCAGTCATGCAGTACTTTGGTCGGTAAGCGATTCGATGTTCACAACTTCACCGTCTTTGAGCAGTTTCAGTGATCGTGTTTTGAGTGCTTCTTTGGGAATTCCGGACTCAATGAGCTCTCATCGTTTTTCAGAATCGCGTTTTCCATGACTATTTCTGGGTGACTGAGGCTTTTCGATAGATAGACTTTGCTGACGTAGTTCTTCAGAAGAGGGGCTTTCGAAAGTACTTTACGAACGTCCCAAACATGTGGCAGTGTTACTATAATAGTTCGTGGTCGATTTCTATCTTTTTTGAATGGCCCGAGTCGTTTCATGTTGCAAATCGTCAGTGGTTCTGTGAGATATCCGAAGATTTTCTCAACAGATGCTGTTTCTTCATTGATAACTTCGTGCGATGATTTTCCTTCAATTTCTGAGATACCGTCTATGCGAATTTGGAAGAGGTGCGAATCGTCGGATGGCTTCCTGTCATTGTTTCGGGAGGCTGGCGTAGATGCTGCCACTGGGCGACTTATGCTCGCTCCAGAATCTGACTTCGTATTCTGATTTTCAGTCGAATCTTTTTCAAACGCATCTTTGAACTGAGAAGAGATTGTTGATTCGATGTTCGGTATAGCTGCTTTCAACTGATTCACATCTGAGGCCAGCGACTGGACGGTATTACTCAGTGAGTCCTCTTTATTGAGAGCCAATTTGAGTTGAGATATGGATTCGCGGAGAAGACAAACGAGAGACTGTTTGTTGAGACCATTAACAACCCTCGACGCATCTTCGTTCGAAGCCCAGACGAGTTCGGAATATTGGGATAGTAGTTATTTGCTGTCATTGATATGGGAGCACCGCTGCCTGGGGTGCCTTCGTTTGTCGGTTCCTCGTTCGACATGCTCTTCTTCTTCGCATAGGGCGAAGGGGTCTTAAATTGGCGGGGTAACTTATAGTGTAGTGGCAGTCGAATGAAGCAGTACAAATCGTGGATGGAAGCTTGAGGGAGTTAGATAGAATGTTGCAGGATAGAATGTTGAAAATAAAATCCAGGAACTTCACCTGGGAGTCTGAAATGAGCAATGTGTTGTTCGGAGAATCGCTGAAGACGTGGAATCTCATAACATACAACGCCCGTCTCTAAAACCCTTCTACAAACTTAGAAGGTCTTCCACAAAAGGCGATTTATTCAAACATTCAACATGAAACTATTTAATAAGTTTATCACAACAATTAGGCTAAAAGTACTCGGAACAACACAATTATAGTTGTATATTATGTTTTTTCGTGTCGAGTTGCGTGTTCTTATTGAAGAAACGTAAGACGTATCGAGTCTAATTGTAAGGACATCAACGCTTATCATCTCCTTTTAATCATTATCACTTCCATATCTAGAAAGTTCTAAGGATTTTGACTGGAATACGTGATGAAGGGGCTCCTGACTGTAACCTCGGTTACTATGATACTTTTCACCTTCTGATTACTTGGAGTACTTTGTATAATTCAATACAGTTTTCCACTTCTATCCACGTTATACTTTACACTTCCATATCTAGAAAATTCCTAGAATTTTGACTGGAGTATGTGATGAAGGGACTCCTGACTTAAACTTCGGTTACTATGATACTTTTAACATATCGCATCTAATTAATAGTTTTTTTAAATTTGTCAGAAAAGTTAGATTTCGATGGAATTTCTCTCACAAGTATACATTTCCAGATTTTCAACGTTTCACATCGAATTTCTAGATCTTTTTCGTTTTAGGACGAATGACGGGCGGGGACGCCAGTATACCCGACGAGGAGACAGAAAGTCATAGTTCCGAAGAAAGCGAATCCTCTTCGGTTGAAGTTTGCGGGTCTCTCCAAAAATGGACTAATTATATCCATGGATGGCAAGATCGCTATTTTGTGCTGAAAGATGGTTGCATTAGTTACTTCAAAGATAAATCCAACATTGCAACTGGATCCAGAGGGTCTCTGAGTCTGGCGAAAGCTTTAGTTAAAGAGCATGAATTTGACGAGCTTAGGTTTGATATCGGGGTAAATGATTGTGTTTGGTACTGTAGAGCCAAGAACAGAGAGGAGAGAAGAACTTGGCTGGATGCCATTGAGCTTTACAGAAACGATTCCAGCATTGATTCTGCTATGAGCAGAAATGGATCCATGTTTTCCCTGAATTCCATCAATAGCGGAAATATGCTTCTTAGTGGTAAAAGTAAACTTAACCGCGGCCAGGAATTGTTGACTTTGCAATCTGAAATGGACACTTTGCGAAGTTCATCGAAGCAGTTAGTTCAAAAAATAGAACTGCACATGCAATTGAGTGCAAGCACTTTGCCAGATCAGAATGGCGATTCACCACAGACGCTCGAAACCGACATGTCTCTATTCAGGGCTGACTGCTTAACTTTCAAAACAACTACTGACAACCTTTTGGATCTGTGTAAACAATGTGTTGATCTATCAATGGTCCAAGATGAGAAACTGCGCAGAAAATTGGACGAGGAAATTAGAAAGCGAAAGAAATTAGAAGAAGCTATCCGGTCTCTGAAGGAAAATATGATGACCGCTAATTTACGAGATGGGCCTGATTTTCAAGAGGGCCCAAACAGTGCAATCACGGATGAAATGTGGTTCGATGCAATTGACGGTGTCCTTGAAAAGCTGGACGAGGATACATACAACCCTGAAAAAGCATCTCTGGTAAAAGTTCCCCTGACATGTGGAACTCAGCGGACACAACATAGGTTCTCCAGCGCATGTGACAACTATGTTAAAGAGAACCTCAAATACGCCTTTTCTTCGTCCGACCAAGTAGAAGGCGAGGATGGATGGGAGCTGATGCACTCAGAGGGTGAAATGCGGGTTTATCGTAAAGAAGTTGAAATAGACGGATTGGTTTTGGATCCTCTGAAAGCAACACATCAGGTAGAAGGCATAACGGCTGAGGAAATGTGTCGTTGGTTTTTTGATCCGGATGTAAAAATGGAATGGGAAGGACATCTTCTGGAGAAGGTGAAAGTGCTTGAGATTTTAGCACCGGACACAGTGATCATTCAGTCAGTAATGAAACGAGTCTGGCCGTCCGCGCAACGAGACATAGTTTACTTATCGCATATCCGTCATGTTAGTGCATATAACCAAGAAAGCAATGAAAACGATACCTGGATTGTGTGCAATTACTCCGTTGACCACAGTGAGGGTGTTCTCGGAAGGGGAGTGGTTAGGTGCCAAGTTAGGGCTTCGATGGTGTGTCAGACTATCGTCATAAATACCGGAGTAGTTTCCGCCAATTTAAAGTACCCTAGATCAAAAGTTGCTTGTAAAGTGTGGTATACTGCAGACGTGAATCCTGGTGGATGGGCTCCGGCCAAGGTGCTACGTCAGATTTATAAACATGAATATCCTAAATTTCTTACCAAGTTCGGTCAGTATGTGTATTCTAAGACAGCGCCTTTGCAACCCGAAGTTTCAATTCCAACTTTTCTGTAGAATGTCGAATCTCAAGTTTTCCTATTGGCGCAGTGTATCGCCAAGTGAAAAAAGTTTGAAATTCTGAAAATTTTAATTAGTTGGAATACTGTTTCTGTAAATTATAGATTAATTCATCTATTTGTTATTACTATCTTTATAAGCGTGGCTCTTTTTCCTTCCCCCTCCCACCTCACATAAGCGTCAGTTTTATGGTGTAACGAGGGGTTTTACAAGGTTAATTATGAAGACCTAAAATGTTTGTCATAGCCTAATTAGTTCGCATGCCAATTTTTGTAACATTCGGATAAAGTGAACAAAACTTCAATAGTAAAATTTTGCAGATGGGGGGGGGGAAAGGAAAAAGAGCCATAAGCGTTAATGAAGGAATTGATTAATTACTCTAGGTCCAGTTTTAAAACCAATTTTTTTTTGGTTTTTCGTAGTTTGACTTGTGCTTTTTTGGAAATCGAAATTTTTAAAAGTCATTTGCAAATGGCGAGAAAAAGCATGAATTAGTTGGAGTTTCGAAAATCATTGTGCAATTTACAGATTTTCCAGAGAAATATAAATATTGGGTGACGGATAAAAATTAGACGTCTCTATTTAAAAACCGAGTTTAGACATTTATTACGCTTGCGATTAGCAAGCATTATCAAATCGGTATATATTTTTTTCGGGTTAACAACTGGTTTAGAAAAATCAGTTGAATCAGTTAGCATGCCGTTCTATTCACTTCTTCCTTGCATTGCCGTTCTATTCATTCTTTCCCGTTTCCGTTTTTTCTCTCAAGTCTGGGTTCGAGTCTCGGCCGGACTTTGTTTCTTTGCAATTGTATGCAATTAAAATTTTTCGGTTAAAATTGAGTTCGCTTGTCTGCTCAAGTGTTGTCGGCTACTATGCCACATCAAAGAGTTTTGCTCGTGCTGTAAGCAACTTTCTTAGCAGTAGCAAGTGTTGTTCATTCTAGTTTCAGGGAGTGACTTGAAAGTTTTTAATTGTTTTTAATTTTTTTTTCGGCGTAACCTGTGCCTGCTTTTTTCGATGCAATTGTTGTTCTTTTATGTTGCAAAAAGGAATAGAAAGATTCTTTTTTTAAAGCTCAAATAGCTTTATTTTTTGGTTCAACTGGTGTCTGCTAAAAGATTGTGGGCTTAATGGCCACATCATTGATTTTGCTTAAGCTGTAAACAACCTTCTTCGCAGCGGCAATTGTTGTTCATTCCAGTTTCAGGGAGGAGTTTGAAAGATTTTGAATTTTTTAAATGTTTTTTTTTTGGTTCAACTGGTGTCTGCGTCGGCTTAATGGCCACATCGCTGTTTTTTTTTTGTGTTGTCAGCAAATTTAATCGCAGTTTTTCAGGGAGGGACTGATTAAAAAAAATAGAATGATTTTTTTTTTCGTTTCAACTGGTGTCTGCTCAAAGATCGGCGGCTTAATGGCTACATCACTGATTTTTTTTGTGCTATAATCAAATTTCACCACAGTTTTTTTAGGGAGGAACTGGAAAATTTTAAAAAGTAAATTCTTTTTTCTTCTCGGTCCAACTTGTGTCTGCTCAAAGATTGTCGGCTTAACGGCCACATCACTGTTTTTTTTTGCGCTGTAAGCCTTTTTCTCTGTAGTTTTTCAGGGAGGGAATTGAAAGATTAAGAAAAAAAATCGGGTGTTACTGGTATCTACTGAAAGGTTGTCGGCTTTGTGGTCAAATCACGGATTTTGCTTAAGCTTTAAGCAGCTTTCATTGCAAATGCAACTGTTGTTCATTCCAGTTTCAGGGAGGGACTTGAAAGTTTTTGTATTTGTTTTATTTCTTTTTTTTTGGTTAAACAGGTGTCTGCTGAAAGATTGTTGGCTTAATCAGTGATTTTTTTTAGGCTGCAAGCAAATTTCACCGCAGTTTTTCAAGGAGGGACCTGAAAGTTTTTAAAAAATTCAAATAATTTTTTTTTCGGTTCAATTGGTATCTGCTCAAAGATTGTGGTCGTAGTGGCCACATCGCTGATTTTCTTGTGCTGTAACCAAATTCGGGCCCACTGTTTTACCCCAAATATGGATTGTTTTTGGCTTTTTAAGTCAATGAAAAATTAAACTGAAACTACCGGGTCAATTATTGACAAAACTATATTAAAAAGAGCATCCAATTTTGCCAGACTAGCGAGGAAGAGCAACTTCATGCTATACTTCATGAAATCATTTACAATTTTTTGCTTTCGCTTCCTCCCATGAGCTGATGAAAAGCATCATTTACGCTGCTAAACTGAGGATATGAGTTTGGCTGCGTATATTTTTTGACTAAGGGTCTACTGCACTGACCCTTGTTTCAAGAAATGTCATAAGTTCAGGAGCGCCCCGGGCATTGGAAAAACAGCCGTTTTTTGCATTTTGTTAGACTTGCAAGCATGCTACCGAAACTGAATTCCCTCACCAAAATTCTGCTAGGCGATATTAATCTTTCTCAAATTCGCGTTTTATCGACGGAGTTGTTTGTTTTCCCCTGAAATAAGTATTTACATATCGCCGAACGCAAAAATGGTGGTATATAAACAAGCTATCGTTTAAACCCGCCGAACTTACCTAAAGAACGTTATTCATAAGATTAGCAAAATAATTCGCGATTAATCAATTAATTTATCGAAGCTGATCGCGGTTATCTTCTGCTCAAAAATTGTCGGCTTAGTGGCCACATCACAGATTTTACTTGTACTTAGCAATTTTCACTGCTGTTGCAAGGGCAAGTGTTGTTCATTCCAGTTTCATGGAGGGAATCGAACGATTTTATTTTTCTAAATATAATTTTTTTTGTTGCAACTGGTGTCTGCTCAAAGTTTTTCGGCTGAGCGTCCAGATCACGGATTTTGCTTAAGCTGCAAGCAGCTTTCTTTGCAAGGGCAATTGTTGTTCTTTCCAGTTTCTGGAAGGGAGTTTATTTTTTATATTTTTTTTAACTGGTTTTTTGAAAGATTGTCGGCCTAATGCCAAAATCACAGGCTTTTTCTGCCCTGTAAGCAAATTTTGCCGCAGTTTTTCAGGGAGGAACTTGAAAGGTTAAAAAATGTAAAAATCTTTTTTGTGCCAACTGGTGTCCGCTCCAAGATTGTCGGCTTAGTGGCTACATCACTGATTTTTCTTGTGCTTTAAGCAACTTTCATTGTAGTTGCAAGTGCTAAGTTTGTGAATTGGAGTTTTAATTGGTAATCCAATCTTATATTTTTTTCTTTGTTTGATGTAATACAAAATTTTCAAGCTCATTTAAAATCCAAGTCCTTGAATAGCCAAACTTTTCTGCATGAAAATATTCCTCAAATCTCTGAGCATTTTCCAATATTAACCGGACAATTGATTAACCGATGAGCGTTTAAATAGTTAATGATGAAGTAATGACAATATCAGTTGCCTTGAAAAATTTAATGGGTAAACTTCATTGAATTATCTTTTTGGTTACGGTTTTTAAGCATAGAAATCAGTTTTAAATCGAAGTGAGCTTTTTTAGGTATTATAGTATTTTATAGTTTTAATCACGTTTTTGGACAACGTCAAAAGTGTCATCAATTTAGTGTGTTGGAAAAAGTTCCAACAGACATAATTTATTAAAAAGAACAATTGTTCCATTTTGACAAATTTTTGCATGCAATATCGTTTTTCACGTAACCTCTAGGATAATTTTAGTCGAAAAAATAGTTTTTCCAAATTACGTTAAATGCTTTCTTTTGACTAATTTTTCCTGCCCGAACTTTTTGCTAGTAACTAAAGCTTTTAACAAAATTATCGGACAACTTCTTAAGCTTTTGAAATAGATCTTACCTTCAAATTGAAATTAATTCAGTTTAGATCTTTTTGTTTGCGTTTTATATGTTCGCTTTGTTGAAAAATGGCATGGCAGATCGCTGCTGAATGAAAATTGTTTTGAAGTTATAATTACTAGAAAAAAGTTCGGACAGACAAAAATAACTTTTTTCAGAAATGTAGGTATCAATGTCCCTTAAAAATTCAAAATTTGGTTTGCTCTTTTGGCAGTTCAAACGCAATTTTTAAAGTTCGTTTATTTTTTCATTTCTATTTCACTGTCTCAAGGTCAGAATTGTTTCAGAAATTTTAGAGGTTGTCCGATAAATTTGTTAAAAGCTATATAACTCTGACCTTTGAACAGGAAAAGGGCGGTAAAATAGAGTTGAAAAAAATTGAAACATGAAATCAAATAGTAATAGCAAATGGCCATTGTTAGCGAATTATCCCAATGTCATCTAAAAAATGAAAAATGGCTTATGTTTTTTTTATGTTTGTTGTATAGCAAGTGAAGTAAAGCTCCGCATCGTCTCTGTGCTTAGACAACTTCGTATGTTAAAGCTAGCATTTTGGGCAAGAAGCAAAGAGCAAACAAATTTTGTCCCATTGTTCATTGATATATTTACACTTGCGAGATCAAGTGTCTTATAATCGGGAACTAGACTAATTTCCCGTAATCAGCTCTTACACTTCTGTAAGAAATTTTGAAGTTGCTCTGTTAGTGAACCTTTGCATCATCGAGAAGTTTCCACGTGGCCTAGAGGTAGCTCTGATGCCTTAGTAGCATTAGGTCTGTGTTTAGAGTCCGAAAAAAAGTGTTTCGATTCCAAGAAAAAAATTCCGATAAAATTTAATTGTTTGGAAAATTGTCCGGGGGGTGCTGACCCTCATGTATTAAGATAGGCTGTTTTGTATCCAGTCAGCACCCCATGTATTGAGGTAGAGAATAGATTTCTCAATGTATCAAAATAATTTAAAGTTACAGAAGTTTTTTTGGCGACCGATTTTTCGATGCAGCCATTGTTTAAGATCCTCTACACCAATGTATAAGATCCTTTGTTTATATAATCCTATGGTTATAATTTTCGGCATGTATTAAGTTACGCGGGTTGAAATGTTATGTTTCAAAAAGTAATCAGCGCTCGATTTTCCAATTTTTTTTCTATAGGTTATAGAAATTCAATGTATAAAGATAGGGTATACAGTCTGTAATGTATTAAGATACAATGTTTCAGTATCATGAAAAATATGGTCAGACAATTGAGGTTTTGGTGCACAAATCTCAATCTATAGAAAAAATTGTTGGACGTTTTTGGCATTTTTTAAATCGCTTCCGGTGTAATTGTAAAGTATCTATTTAAAAA